CCTGCTGGCTGCAGATTTACCTGCCCTTAAAACAAGCATGCAACAAATCACTGAAAAAGTAGTACACACTGAGAGAGAAGTGCAGGGGATCCAAAAAGAAATCACCTCGCTGCAAGACTCCCTCACACAACTACAACACAATCAACAAAACTTCGAGGTTCAACTAGCAGCCCAAGAAGACAAACACAGACGCAATAACATAAAAATCCGAGGTATCCCTGTCACAGTCTCCAAAGAGGACCTACCTCACTACGTGAGACGGCTCACGCAAGCTATACTTCCTCCTGCGGTGGCAAAGAAACTCACCTTTGCCGGAATATACCGACTACCCACCCCAACAAGGGCATCTACACTCCTAGCAGGAGACGTCATAGTCCGCTGCATCCTTCCCCAGGATAGGGGGCACATAATGTCGGCACTCAAGGGCAAGACACCGCTCAACTTCGAGGAGTCTCAACTGACTTTTTACCAGGACTTAACCAGAGCCACTCTCCAATGGAGAAGAACCCTCAGTGACTTCACCAGCCAGCTATGTTCCGCGGGCGTATCATATCGGTGGGGAAACCCACGCCACCTCCTGGTTACACACCGAGGAAACACGTACAAAATCGCTACAGGACCTGATGCTGCCGCGCTACTACCAAAATTGGGCCTGCCGACCGAGCACGCCCAGAACGCTACCCATGCCTGGGACCCGGAGACGATAGAGCCGTTCACCCCGAGGACACGGAGAAGGGACACTCACGCCACATGACGGGAATGAGGGGAGAAGTCTCCTACCCCATCCTGCTCAAAGGCTAAAAACGGCAAAATGTATTTTCTTGTGTTTCTCTCATATACCCTTTCACCTTCAGCCACTTAAGCTTTGTTGATAATGAGCAAGTTAATCTGACGCTCTAATACCCATATGACGCGCTGTGAGCCTGTCAGGGACGGCGCTGGAATACCAGTGCACTAAAGGAATATGCACTACCATACAGAACAGAAATCCCCCCCCGACAGCCCCTAGGTTAGGGCTACTACCCCTCGAGAGTAACTCAAACGGACCACGGATAAGGCCCCCTGACAAGATCCTCTCACGACTAACCGACTGACACCACAGACCACTTGATAACACCACAGATAGATCTAGCACTCTGAAACTAAAAATAAGTTATAAGTCTTACGCAAAATAAGTCTGGAGCACATAGTTCGCAGCCTGGACTGGGTGGCATACGTGATTTGGGGGGGCCAGCTTGCCCGCAACACTCCTGTCCCAAAACTATCCATGAGCAAACAATCTAGTATTCATGGGATTGCTGGGGGTGGGATGCGCGGGCTGGCTGGCTACTCTCCAAATTGCTGCCGCTAAATTCGGTTGGGTCGCGCTAGGTGTCGACTGAAGCATAGATTTAACCAAGTGTAGATGAAACACGGGACACGTACACCTAGAATGAGGCGACTGGGCAGTGTGATTTTCAAAGCAAAACCAGCCCAAAGTTTGGACAGGCACTGCTCTGTCCTGCGGCCAGGGCTGATAACACTTAAACGCATGTATATACCTAACAAAAATCTAACCTGATGGTTAACACGCACACTAGCCCCTGCTCCCTAACCTGAAGGTCTCTATCTGAACATAATCTCTCACACTCACGCTGGAACAGTGCTATACCACTAACCACTCTTCTCATATATATATAAAAATGTGCAAAGTTATTCCTGCCATACAATTGTATTTACATGTCTACTCAAACCCTGGCGACAGCTGTTGTGGCATCGCTAGAAAACTGTTACATGAATAATCTATGCACGAAAAATAAAGAATTAAAAAAAAAAAAAAAATAACAGCATCGGCTGCTCACAGCTCAACGCGCGTTTCGGCGTGTTCGATACGCCTTTGTCAAGAGCAAACTGGCATGTACATAGGAAGCTGCTTATGAAGGGGTAAGATACTGCCTTCTATATATTTTTTATCTTTCATTTATTTGTTTTGGTTATTTCTTTTAGGTCTTACTAGTATTTAATTTTAATTTTATTTCTTCTTTATTCTTAGCCTGTTCCGTGAAGAATAGTTACAGTGGGTTCCTACCCTTTCTCCTCCTCTTATTTTAATCAGATATGTCACTCCGGTGTCTTCCACGCCCCTCGTTTCTGATTGGTCCGGACACTTAGGGGAGTAACCTGTCACTCGCTTTGATTCAAGGTCTCCGATTGGAGGATCCATTTTGAAGGGTGTGTACTTACCCCTTTATAAGCGGCTTCCTATGTACTTGCGGCTTCCTATGTACATGCCAGTCCATAGCATCAATGCCTTCTTCTTGCAGTGACTGCTGACACACTCCAGCCACATGAGGTCTAGCATTGTCTTGCATTAGGAGGAACCCAGGGTCAACCGCACCAGCATATGGTCTCACAAGGGGTCGGAGGATCTAATTTCGGTACTTAATGGCAGTCAGGCTACCTCTGGCGAGCACATGGAGGGCTGTGCGCCCCCCCATAGAAATGCCACCCCACACCATTACTGACCCACTGCCAATCCGGTCATGCTGGAGGATGTTGCAGGCAGCAGAACATTCTCCACAGCGTCTCTGTCACGTCTGTCACTTGTGCTCAGTGTGAACCTGCTTTCATCTGTGAAGAGCACAGGACGCCAGTGGTGAATTTCTCTGGCAAATGCCAAACGTCCTGCACGGTGTTGGGCTGTAAGCACAACCCCCACCTGTGGACGTCGGGCCCATGTACCACCCTCATGGAGTCTGTTTCTGACCATTTGAGCAGACACATGCACATTTGTGGCTTGCTGGAGGTCATTTTGCAGGGCTCTGGCAGTGCTCCTCCTGTTCCTCCTTGCTCAAAGGCGGAAGTAGCGGTCCTGCTGCTGGGTTGTTGCCCTCCTTCGGCCTCCTCCATGTCTCCTGATGTACTGGCCTGTCTCCTGGTAGGGCCTTCATGCTCTGGACACTACGCTGATAGACACTGCAAACCTTGCCACAGCTCGCATTGTGTCACCCTGGATGAGCTGCACTACCTGAGCCACTTGTGTGGGTTGTAGACTCTGTCTCATGTTACCACTAGAGTGAAAGCACCGCCAGCATTCAAAAGTGACCAAAACATCAGCCAGGAAGCATAGGAACTGAGAAATGGTCTGTGGTCACCACCTGCAGAACCACTCCTTTATTGGGGGTGTCTTGCTAATTGCCTATAATTTCCACCTGTTGTCTATTCCATTTGCACAACAGCATGTGAAATTGATTGTCACTCAGTGTTGCTTCCTAAGTGGACAGTTTGATTTCACAGAAGTGTGATTGACTTGGAGTTATATTGTGTTGTTTAAGTGTTCCCTTTATTTTTTTGAGCAGTATATATACACAAATTTCGTCGCCTTTCCAGTATATTCTTAAGGGGAGTTCTGGTGTTTTATCCAGTTAATCATTTAGTAATCTCATATTTCCTGATGACAGACTTATGGTTATGTTAATTATAATTCATCACACTTTTCTATTCGCCTTCCAATTTTTTAATTTATTTTCTCTTTTTCCCTCCTTTCCCTTTCCTCCTTTTTTTATACCCTCTCTTCCTTACTTCTAAACACTATTTTTCATTCTTACTCTACTTTATGCTGTTAAGGAAAATGACACATTAGTTAAACTTTTTATAATGACCCGATTACATTTAAATCTGTCCATAACTACTTATTTTTTTATTTTTTATTTTTTTTTTAGGGTTTTTTCCCATTCCATCCACCGTAATCTATTTAGTTCTTTAGTAACTCTATCATGATGAAAACGCAAGTTCTTTTGAGTTGGTTAACTTTTTTTTTATGTATTCAGCCAAAGGTGGGCTTATACTTTTTATTTTCCAGTAGGACACAATTAAAGGACCACTATAGTGCCAGGAAAACAGGGCCTCAGGGTCCCCCTCTCGCCGGGCTCTGGGGAGAGGAAGGGGTTAAAATCTTACCTTTCTCCAGCACCGGGCGGGGAGCTCTCCTCTCCTCCTTCATAGCGTCGTCATCGGCTGAATGCGCATGCTTTCCTATGGACGCTGGCATCTTCTCACAATGAGACAGCCTCTAGAGGCTGGATTAATCCTATTATAAACATAGCAGTTTCTCTAAAACTGCTATGTTTATAAAAAAAAAAAGGGTTAACCCTAGCTGGACCAGGCACCCAGACAACTTCATTAAGCTGAAGTGGTCTGGATGCCTATAGTGGTCCTTTAAGTAATAAAAATTAAACCAGGATAACAGAGTTGGATTCCGACGAGTTAAATCTGATTTAATTTTACTAATCAGAGGGATAACATTCATTATGAATAACTCCTTTAAGTCCTTGGTTAATCTTACTCCTAAATAAAGCAAATTTGAAGTGCAAAGCTTAAACTTTAATTGTTTTATTAAGTATAAAATATCATCACTCAAATTTAAATTCAAGATTTCACTTTTTGTATTGTTGAAATTAAAATTAGATAGTATGCAAAATTTTGGCAGTCGAGGAATAATAGAAAATCCAAATATACACAAGGTGGAGTATCTTACATGCAGTTTGAGAGAGATTTGTAGGGTAGATCCTAAAGGTAAACAAAAGGAAAGCAAACACTAGCGCAATATTGTCTGTATATAAGTATTAAAGTGAGTAAACCTATGCAAATGTGCACTCACAAGTAAAGAGCCAATAAATTATCGGCTTAAAGTGTCAGTTTAGTGGGATTTATAGGGTCCCACTCCCTCTGCAGTATTCTGTAGTTGCTTCAACGTGTTGATTGCAGCCACAAATTCAAGTGTTTATTTAAAATGCTTTATTATCCATAAAGTGCACCAAATATAAATAGAATAAAAAGTTCTTACAATATGGGTAGTAAGTCCTTATGGTGTGCAAAACGTGTTTCGCCTCTCTGGGAGACTTCCTCAGTTGCTGTGATGTGGTCTGTAGTCTGTTCTTCTTTTAAATGGTTATGTTTGCCGTTTTCAGGTCAATTTACTTTGTGTTCCTGTTTTGTTTTATTGGACCACAGCGTCTATTTGCATCTGACATACGTCTGGTTTCTTTTATTGGTATTGGAACGCAACCTTGCGTTTCACTATGGTTACTTTCTCTTCCTGAACTTTGTATGGGCATTTCCTTCTATTTGGAACGCATGGATGTGTTCCACCGTTCAATATGAGATTCTGTGTCCTTAATAGTCCATAAAAATGCTCGGCAGCATACACAAATAGGCAGAGGAGAAGAGGGGTAGTGAGAATGGGAACAATATATTAAAAAAGGGGGGATAAACCTCTTGAAGGAGGTGGGGAAGATATTTAATAAAATGCATTACTTTTTGGGGAAATACATGGAAGTACAATGCTAAAAAGAAATATATTAAATAGAACATACTAAAGTATATAAATATAATATACTTAGTATAGAGCAGATTTGGGGGGGGGGACACAAAAGGCTGTAATCCAACGGATATAATTAGTTCCTAGACCAATGACATAGTATACTTCACGAACCTCTCTGTGACAGACCACCCTGTCACCGGATTATAAAGCTTTTTGTCCTATTCTCCTGTTTGTTCGGTCAATTACATTTATGACCCCCTGGGAGCTCGAGTGTGCCGGCAATTAACCTCCTCACAAAAAAAATTGTCTGCCGATTTCCAGAAGTGATTGAAAGTGACCATGGAACTTCCTTTACTGCTCTATTAACAAAGGAAGTCTGGGCAGCACTGGGGGTGACCCTTGCCTTCCACACACCTTATCACCCACAGAGTAGCGGTAAGGTAGAACACATGAATGGCACGTTGAAAGCCAGAATGCTTAAAATGTCCCAGGAGACCAATATGCCCTGGCCCGAGAGTCTTCCCCTAGCTCTTTTCAGTGTACGATGTACCCCTAGGGGGAAGTTTAGTCTATCCCCTTATGAGATTTTGTTTGGTACAGCACCAAGGTTAGGTTGTTACTTTCCCCAACAGCTTCAGATTCAGTCAGATGCTATGGTAGACTATGTAAATGCTCTCTCTCATGCCTTGACCAAAATCCATGCCCAAGTGTTCTCTTCTATTCCAGATCCTGAATCGAAAACAGGTACTCACAAGTTACTTCCTGGTGACTGGGTTATGGTCAAGAAATTCCTCAGGAAACATACTCTCAACCAGGATTCGATGATCCTTATCAAGTACTACTAATCACGGCTACCTCAGTAAAGTTGGCCGAAAAGAGTTCCTGGATACACGCATCACATTGCAAGAAAGTGCCTGCTCCAGAGGAAGCCGCCTCCACTGAATCATGAGCTTCCTGTGTTTTCTTTTGCTGCTAGGCCTAGTAGAGGCCCAACAGGTTGCTATAAATAAAGATAATCATGTTTACACGTTCTGGTACAATTCCTCAAACACACATGTGGCTACATTTACCTTTGATTATTGTGATATTATTTCCTGTACTTTTCCGAAAACACAACACTCTGCCATATACAAAGACATACCTAACAAGAAGGACCCATATATCTGTGTAACCGGAGGTCGATGGGGACATCATTGTAGTTCTTGGAAAGCGGCTGGTTGGAATACTGGTAGACTACGGGGCTATAAACCCCAGTGTGCCTTAGACAGAGTTGACAGAAATGGGAAGTCTTTGTTATATAGAATGACCTTGAGTAAACCTACAGGGTCTGTGACGAGACCAATCTCGCCACATTGCATTGGAGAAGCCTGGTTGCTCGCCTGCTGCCTTTGGACTATGGCCCCCTGTTAAAAGACATCTTTTTTACCTGCAGAAAAGCTTCATTCGTGCTTTTCTGCCTGGGGTTCGGTAGATTTGTTTGAATGTGTTATACCCCAGATGGGAATCCCATGGAGCCCATTAGTATGAAACTGACTGTAAAGACTTTGGCTCCATGGCGATTAAACTGTATTCGTGTGGTCTGAGCGCCATTCACTTAATAATGTGCGCTCAGACCTGAGCTATCTGGGGATATGTTAAATGTATAGTTTTAATGTAAGGTGTCTTACCTGATGCATTTTAAAATGTTTTACTGTCTTTGTGTCCCCATGTGCTCAATGGAATCTGCCTCTATCCCTGGATAATTGGATTACTTTCCCCATTGTCCAGGATAGAGGGCTCTGTAAAACTTGTTTGAGCCAGATAGCCATGCTGCCAGCCAGGGTACAAAAGATACTTTTTACTAACTTTTGAACCCCTGGTCTGATTCATGCCATTTTTTAATATGTTGTTCCCATGAATGGATTGATTGTGAATATGTAATTTTATGTGAATGTGATGTATGGTTTTAGAGTTATGAAAGTTGGGTAGAAAGTATGTTTTAACTGTATGTGTAATTGAGTTTCCTCTCAGGATAAGGGGAGGGAATATGTGGGATGTAACTGTGATGTAATTGGTTGTTTTATACCTCCCTGTGGGCGGTCCTGTATTTGAAAACACTGTAATAAAAACCAGGCTGGGTGTGCCAGCACCTCAGACCACTGCTTGACCCTCAACACGGAGCCTTGTCTCGTTCTTGGGGGGATTCACTGTATGCTGTT